TTCCTGCATTTTTGAGAGGATTTCAAAGAAAAAAAAATCAGAGATAACTTAAGTTTTTATTCAATGACAGAGCAGTTTTTTTATGATTCCAGCCCCACTGGTGATACGAATCAGTCCATCTTTTAAAGAAAAATCTTGGACCTCAGGCCTCGAAATTAACTTTTTTTACTACTGTCCCAGAATTGTCCCGAATATAGATTTCAATTGTCCCGAACTGAGGATGGACTGTCCCAGCCTGATTTTCACTATTTTCAGGAAATAAGTTTGTGACAACAATAAGAAAACAACAACTGAATTTGTACAACTTAAGTCCACTTTATTAGTATATGTAGGGAAATACATGATAATCAGATAATATCATGGGCACGTCACCATCTTTGAGGCCCCTCTCCCTGATATTTGAAATCCCTGATTGGTCAAATTTAAATGTTTGTCAGTGTATTATGGGCTGCCGGCAGTCTGCAATAAGAATCGAATGATCGCATTCCCAAATGACGTGGATGGTCTCAGAATTTTCCAATTGCCCCCAAATTGTCCCGAAACGTAATTTCAATTGTCCCAAGCTGAAAATTTAGTGTCATTTGACACTGGGACAATGTTAATTTCGAGCCCTGGACCTTTACATCAAAAGTGGGCCTTTGAGCCTTGTGGGGGGATTTGTCCGAACGCTATGGGCATGTTCTTTAACCAATTAACCCTTTAACCAATAAATGGAGGCATATGACAAAGTTTGCCTCATACATCCATTACTATGATATAACAACAACAGTTACTCACTGCTTTCCTGACATCTCGTCCTTTCAGGTCGATCAGCCGTTTATTCTGGGCCCACTCTACATCTGCCTCCATGATGGCTTTCTGTGCAACAAGAACAAAAAAACATGTTTGGAGTGAAGACTTTTGATCCAACACAAAGAAATTCTCTCACCCAGAGCTTTCGACCTGGTCACTCTGGTCTTTCTCAGTAGACCGACCCAGTGAGGCTTGTCACGTTACTTCTTTGAAGTGTGACGTCAACACTGGGTTGGTCAAAGGTATCTGGTAGATGATGTCAGCCCCCGTCGCAATTGAGTGAAGGGTGATGGGCCCTGATGTAAATAGCCTCTTTCTCCGTTCTCAAGAAATAGTCTTTGCTCAGTGTCCAATATTCTCAGTGTCCAGTGAAACAGAATGTCCAGGTGACTTGATGTAAATTGATCAAAAGTCAACTCTAAACAGTCATGTAACTACCAACACAAATGAACTTTCATGATAACAAAAAAAAAACAGCCTGTTCATTTGCAAACTTGTTGCTTTTGACACAAATTCGACACTCAGAATGAGCTGGTTTAATTGTACAGAATAAGATTTTCTGAACCTTGAAGTAGATGGGTGCCATGTCTCCCAGCTCGCGCGGCAGGGGAACACACTCGATGGCGGTGTGGCGGAACTGGTTCAGTCTCATGGCCGTCTCCATGAACACACAGTCCTGGTCATCGTCAGCCTGGAACATCTGCACCAGGCATCGACGGAAGGCCTGCAGGAGAAGAAGGTGAAAGATGGGTTCACAGGCCATCGCAAGCAAAAACAACTTCTACAGGCTCTTGTTCTTCCCCCGCACCATCAGGGAATGGAACGAACTTGAGCCTGGTGCGTTGGAGGCGGGGTCTCTTGCCCAGTTCAAATCTGAACTGGCGAGGACCCTGCTGCATTGAGTCACCCCATCATGTCTTGTATTATGTAATACTTAAAATATTGCTAATGCACCAATTCACTTGTCTCGTCCTTTGCACACACAAAATCAGTTATTTACATTACCTTCATGATTATCCCTTTCTTTCCCTTCGTTTATATGTACCAGATCACATGTTACTAACACATGCACAACCTACTGATAATCCCACATTGTGCGGCTTGGCAGCAGCGAAGGTGAAGTGCCTTTTAAAAAAGCTAGCTTTGACAGCTACACTTCAAGTGTGATGAAAATGTATGATATGTAATATGCTTTTGTTTTGAGGTTCAAGACAAGGTGGAGTTTTAGTTAGGCAGGCTTTATTCATGCAGGGAAAGCAACAAAGACAACCACAAAATCAATCAGCCATCAAGACAAAAAAGGTACTACAAGATTAACTTTGAGTAACTGTAGAGCGAGAATCTTGACTAACAAGCTCAGAAAAGCTCAAGTCACGTTCCAAGAATAGACGGGTCCATTCCGTGAACAAGGTTGATGGAGTAAACCGAAAATTAAAATGGGGTAAGTCCCAATATTTTGTTAGTCAGTGTTGGAAGTTAAAGCTTAGTCTTTATTTCATAAGCTCAGAAAATGCTCATTTTGCTTTTGACCCAAACTACCTTGTCTGTCTAGTTGGTCATGAGACCTAGTCTGTCTAACTCAAGGTCATTACTGTCAAAGCTGCCTGACTGTCCCAGCTGTCCTACCTGTATTTCAGCCCACACATCCTCATCCATGGTAGTACCAGAGTTGACGTGCTGCATGGGCACCAGCAGGCAGTGGCCCTCTGTCAGCGACTTCAGACTCGGCAGTGTCAGGTACACCTGAAAATGCATGATATGTATAATGTATTTTGGTAGAATAACTGTATATGTTGTAATTGTTGTTATTGTGATTGCATTGTGTTGTTTTAAAAAAAAAAACAGGATTGTCTGAAAAACAGGTCAATGACCTGAGTCCAATTCCCTGTATAAATAAATAAAGTGAAGTGAAAGGCACAGATAGGGCCACACCAATATAATTTGTTGGTTCTTGGATTTTTTCAGTAAAAATATGAAGCGATAGCTAGGGCAAAAAAAAATAAAACAGGTCTAGGCATTCTCTTATAGCCCCAAATGCTACGATAGGAGCCATGAAGTCGACACAAAAGGCTGGGTTAATATTTAAACAATAAATTTTGAACTTTTAATCAAACCACTGCATTGATAGATGGAAAAACTGTAACACCTAGGAAGAAAAAGACTTTCCTCAACTGTTGGGAGCAAAATATGAGCATTTTTGAGTTGATTCAGAATTTTTTTTTTTGCAAATCAGAAAAAAATGAAGAGGCGAATGCGAGAACCAACAAATTAAATTGGTGTAGCCTAAAGGTCAGTATCCACCATATCAAAGCCCATGTTTAATCATCTGTACCTTCTTTCCAATAGCGATGATGAGGTGCTTGGGGACTTCCGGGTTCTCGAAGCAGAAGCGACACTTGTCCAGCCTGGTGGCCTGGCGACGGTGCTCTGCCATGGCCACCTGACGCTCCCGTTCCTCCGCCTTCTTCGCCGTACCCTTGTTGGCCACGGACGACTCAAACATGTCATCCAACGTGAAGTCTGGCTTGTTGGAAAACTGGACAGGGGAGAACAAAATGTTTGACTTTATTTCTTAGTGGCAAGTGCTACAGTAGCTTGGTACATGTATCCAGTCTTACGTGTTTGGGGGTATTGGGGTGTTCAGGCAGGTTGTGCCTTCGGGGGCTCTAATAGCTTCCCCCGCCCAGTGCAACAGGCCGTCCCGGTAGGAGTGTTACTCTAATAAGAGACAGTATGCTTGGGGATGGAGGGCTAATCAATCTCTCGTGAAATACACACTGGGAAACCTATGTGAGGTGGGCGGGACAGAGCTCTTGCGAATCACGAATCAGACTGGATATCAGGCTAGTGCTACAGACAGTATAAGACCTTCTACTGCATAGGTAGGTAGTGGTAGCACGTTGGCAGAACGTACTGCACATGTGTGAAACCCGTAATGTACATGTAGTGTGCATAGCACTTCGGCAGAACGTCACGTATAATGTGTCTCATACTCGGTCACATATAAGGTTAACATCCCGTCTGTAGTTTCCAAATGTGTCGTAAAAATATCCTCTGCAACAGGCAAAATTCTAATGCAACGTTGACCAAAAATCCGGACCTAAACCCATGTCATATACAAAATTGCATGTTGGCAACCTTGCAATGTTGTTTGGGCAAAACTTTGGCCACATAACATGGAGGCCGACACTTGACGATGCCCGATGGCAATGTTTTCTTCATTTTGCAGCACAGATTTTGCTATCTACAGAAGGTTTTAGGTGGTTTGGAAAGAAAAGGGGTATGTGACATACCTGGGTTTTTGTTGTAATGAGTCCGGAATCGGTTCTGTAATTTAATTTTTTTTTGGACTTGAACCTGAACGAGTCCGAAACCAGTCTAGTGAACCGGTACACAACACTAACTGAGACCGTACCTTGGCAGCCATCCTGGCGTACATGGCGTTCTGATCAGCGGCTGTGGTCCTGCGCTCCTGCTGGGCCATGGACGTCAGGTCATGCTGGTCATCATCCTCAAAGTACCGCTGCCGTGTGCCTGACTTGTCATGAGTCTCAATCTGTAACAAAAACAAAAACAAAGCCTGGTGATATCTGTATCTGAATGAGTATAGCCGGTATAACCGCCCTTCTGTGTATCACACCATGTGGGGCAGACGTCACTATTGCGTTGCGCAGTAGTAGCCCCAAAATGGGAACATGATTGTAGTCCCTAGTTAATATCTTTGAAAATCTTTTTTTCTCTTGAAAATTATGGTCCAGTTTGGAGATTTTTGGGCTAGAAGGAACAGGTAGGGTCTAAACCTAAACTTTCCTACTTTGGTCAAATTTTGTTCATTTCACCAGTTTAGTGAGCATAATGAGACCTGAATGATGAGGTCTTGCCTGTCCAGGGCGAAAGTATACATGAGAAAATTAGGTCAAAAGTAGGGTTTGTTTACTGCTGTCCTGTTTCAGTGCATTTAACCATAGGTTTCTATGGCCAAAGGTAATAGTACTGTCTCCCCTGCACCAGCTTTAATCAGTGTTGAAGAACTATCACCATCAGTAGTCTTGATCTTTACCAGACCTTTCCATCAAATTAAAAAAGTAAATGTCTCACCTTCTTAGTCTTCCTCCTCCTGCCCTTGCCTGATGAGTCCTGTACCTCCGGTAGAGGCCAGCTACGACCAGTGTTATCTGTTCTTGTCAGGATGACCTCCTCCTCACCTCTCCTAACACTGGGCCTGCCGTCTTGTCTGACTGGCATCTGTGACATCAACAGCAAAGAGTCAGTAACATCAAAACTATGTCATACATGTATATCAACAAGGGATAAAAGGTATACTAGAAAAGTAACATTTGCAAAGCAAATGCATAATGTTTACCTTCGCATATGGTCTGCTCTGTTAATTCCTACTCAAACACATTTACATACATGTATATGATATATGGAGACAGAAGTCTAAATCCCTCCTACAATAAAAATTGCAACATGATGTAACTCAACACCAGTTACCATGGTGAGAGAGAGTCTGATTCAGTCAGGTCAGAGGTCACTGTTTGGAGAAGAAGAAGAAGAAACGTAGCAAAAACAGTATGTTTTCCTTCGGTAAACATAAAAATGAAAGATCTAGGTTGGTACATGTACATGTATAAAGAATAAACCTGTTTTTCTAATATGAACAAACAGTGTTAGAAATACCCATCTGCAGTCTGCATTTTGCAACTGCAGAGACCTTTTCAATATAATTGCAGAAGAAAAATTAGGCAACCTGCATTTTGCAGACTGAAAAAAATCAGGCTTGGGGTTCAATGGTGTTTTTAAAAGAGCTTTAAATTTGTGTTTTAAGCTACTCACTCTATAATATACATTGAACTAATTTTTGCAATATGCATTTTTCAAATTGCATGAAAAATGTAAAACATGCAATTTTGTATATGCCATTGGTTTACATACAGACTTTTAAGTGTACATTGTATATTTGCAGGGTGTACAAACAATGTATTTCCAAATAGCAGAACAAAATTTTGACATTCTGCAATATTGTAGAACAATGAAAAAAGTACCACTGAAAAAATGACAGAACATGAATCATCTATCAAGAATACACTAACTAGGAAGATAAATTCTTTTGCTGGAAAAGTTATGACAAAAACTCAGGAGTCATACAGACCTTAGGTTGAGCTTCCTTTGCCTTCCTGGCCTGTTCTAGCTGCATTTTAATCTTGGCTGCCAGTTCCTCATTTCCCATCAATTCAGCCTTCACCAGTTTGGCCCCCAAACTGTTCATCTCTTCTTCTGATAGGATCCTCACTGGGGGGGACGGAGACCTGTCCTCATCTTCAGATGAACTGTCACTTGAACTGGACTCTGAGTCTCTAGGGTTCTCAGGCTGCTGCAGTTCCTTCTTCTTCCAGGAGGGGGCACTACTACTACTACCACTACTAGTTGTACTACTACTACTAGCTCTTGGCATGCTTTGGGAATTTGTAGTTGACCTGTCAGTAGCTGAAGCTTGAATGGACTCTGTACAAGTGACAGTATCCTCGCCAGGTTTCTTAAATGCTTTCTTTTTCCAGCCAGGTATTCTTTCGTCCCTGTCCTTTCTCTCAGGTGATGCTCTCTTAGACCAGGTGGAAAGTGAAGATGTGTCCTTTTGATCTTCTGCTGGTTTCTTAAACAGCCCAGAGAACTTTGAACTACTGTACTTGCTTGAGGGTCTCTCTCTGTATGAGTCTCTGTCATGTTTTCTATTGTCCCTGCTACCTCTGTCTTCTTTACTTCTACTTGGTTCACCATCTTTTCTACTGTGTTCCCTTCTTGTATAGTTATCCCGGTCCCTGCTGTAGTCTTTGTGAGAGTGTGTTCTTCTGTCTTCTTCTGGTGACTTTCTTCTTTCCCCATCTCTCTCATGTGATCTTTCCTTCTCACGTCTATCATACCTAAAAAAATCAAAGGGACTTTATGAAGTTTATACGTTGAATTACCAGTATGTTACAACAATTAACAACATGAACCAGGGCTTAAAATACTGGGTGCATGTGCAGCTTAGTGCACCCAAAATTGGAGCTGTGCATCAAATTCTGTCCAAATCAAATATTTTTGTAGGTATTTTTTTACATATTGTATAATAGTATGCAGGATATTGTTGGTGTTTAAGTGTCAGAAAATAATAAAATCTTTCTTGAAGTACTTGTTTAAGATTTTGAAGCTACCGGTAGCTCCCATTTCATATTCAAACTCAGAAGAGGAGCTGTAAGATCTGTAATTAGGTTTTGTTTCATGTGGTGCACCCAAAATTTTTTTTGTGCACCTAATTTTTTTAGGTTGGGTGCAGCAGTGCACCTACTCCAAAAATTGAATTTCAAGCCCTGTGAACTTTCAATAAAAAATGATTTGGGTGATGTTTATATAATTTCCTATGTATAAAGATGATACAGATGATATCACATGATAAGCCAGTCTGGGGGCTGCTCTGATGCAGTGACTGCCAGGATTAAGTCAGCCTGGAAAAGCTTCCATGAGCTTCTCCCAATCCTCACGAACAGCTACATACCTCTTAGAAACAGTGGGCATGTCTTCAACTCCTGTGTCAGAAGCGTCTTACTCTACGCTTCTGAGACATGGCCCGTGACAGCAGAAGACATGAAGAGACTGGCACGGAGCGACAGGGCCATGGTAAGATGGATGTGCTCCAGGAAACTGGCAGACTGCCAGTCAACTGAACAGCTACATATGCGGCTTGGAGTCCATAGCATACAGGACACAGTTAGGTACAACAGACTTAGATGGTATGGCCACCTCCAGAGAAAGGACAGGGACAAATGGCCGAAGAGGATCCTCACACTGGATGTGGAGGGTCCAAACCCCCCTGGCCGCCCTAGAAGGAAATGGTACGACAACATACGGGACCTGAACCTGAACTTAGATAAAATCAACCCACTGGACAGAGACAAGTGGCGTGCTGCCATCAAGCCCCAGATGTATTGTGCAAGCATGTCTAACCCTCGGAAGACAGGGAACAACAGACGATAAACCGGACAGTGAGTGAGTGAGTGATCATGGTACCACATACCTGTGCTTGTCTCCATGACTTCCCCTGTCTGCTGATGCAGGTTTTCTCCATCTCTCCCAGTCTGACCCCTGACCTCTGTCCCTCTCACCACCTTGAGATGACCTCTGTTCTCTTTCCTTCTCTTCTGCCACTGCCAACATCTGCTGGAACTTCTCCAGGGACTAAAAGATGCAGAATTCTTATACTATCAAGAGAGTTCATCTGTGTTGGTAGATATATGTTTAAAGTTAAAACTTTTGATCCAACACAAAAATTCTCACAAGACTATTTCTTGAGAGGGGTGAAGGAAGCCATATATACATCAGGGCCCATCACCCTACATTGAACTGCGACGGGGGTCAACATAGTCTACCAGATACCTTTGACCCAGTGTTGACATCACAATTCAAAGAAGACACGTGACAAGCTTCACTGGGTCAGTCTACTGAGGAAGACCAGATCTAGAGTGACTGGTCCAAAGCTCTAGGTGAGAGAATTTTTATGTTGGATCAAAAGTTTTAACTTTAAACATGCAGAATTCTTGACTTTTCAGTATGCAGAGCCAGAGTGAAATAAGCCTGTCAGAACAATCCACTTGAAAAGCAGCCACGGCTGACAGTATAACTTTAAGGTTAAATGAAGGTTGAAAAAACAATGGATTTAGACCTCACAAATTGTTTATCTTATGTTATTTATTATAATAAGTTACTTTGATTTTGTATTCAATTTGTAACCTGCGTTATTTGATACCTTTGTTAATCTTGAGTTCATTTTGTTAATGAATTTGTTTGGGGTTTTTTTTTCCCCAGCAACCTTTGAACGACATGTGTTCTTCTGGATAAACAAACAAACAAACAACAAACAAACAAACAGCTAAAGTTTCTACAGTTCTTTCCACAATAAGCCAGTCTACATGATTGTTCAGATGATATAAAGTAGGTGTCTTACCCCCCATCTTTGCTCTACAATGTCTTCAAATGGCCTGCCTTCCTCCTCTGCCTGTTCCTTGGCTCTCCTGTACTGCCTCCTCAGCCAGTCTGCACCTCCATCAAACACACTCACTGAGAAGGAAACACAATTACCTTTCACTTATAAGGGGTTTATAGAAAAAACTGGGTGCCTGCCGAGCCTGGCTACCTTGCCTGTCTACCTGGCCTAGCAGGCACGTCAGGCTACACAGATCCCCCCATTCATATCTTCACGAAAGATATGACATCCAAACAGCTGCCCCCTCTAGTGGAATGCATGGAAACTACACCATTACACTGGTAGGTACGGGTACCCCTTACACATAAATCCTTCACTTAAGTGGGACTCTACACCGTAGTATCTCAGTAAACAGCATGACTTTAAGTAATACAAAGGCAACAGATATATACAATATGCCTGTCAAATGTTCTATCTATGCCACATTGAAGTTCTCTCAACCTCCCTCCTCTTATCTCCTTCTCTTCAGAATCATTCCTTGCCTCCTACCTGTGCGTTTGGGACCATCCTTGTTGCTTGGTGCCTCCTCTGGCAGACCAGTTCCTCCATCTTTCCAGTAGGGGTTCAGTTCTTTTGCATGCTGTCCAGGCTGGGGGAGACAACAACAATGAAACAAATCCAGTATGTCATTTTAAATGGAAACATTTTAGGAAAATACATGTAAAAACAAAATTACTTAATATAATGTAGAGTACGTTTAAAGTTAAAACTTTTGGTCCAACACTGAGCAAGACAACCTACTGAGGAAGACCAGAGTGACTGGTCGAAAGCTCTAGGTGAGAGAATTTTTTGTGTTGGACCAAAAGTTTTAACTTTAAACGTGTAACTACCAACACAGATGAACTTTCATAGTATAATGTAGAGTAGCTGTAACAAATGTTTTTAATGCTGAAGTAAAAATGAAGTACTGACCGCATCTACACATGACAGGGACTTGTTCTTCTCTTTCTCTTTCTCCCTCTCCTCCTTCCTCTGCTGCTTCAGATCCTTTTGTGATACTGTGGGAACCAGGTCAAAGGATGCCATCATCCAATCATCTCTCTGGAACAAATAATGACAAGTTCAAGGCTCTAATACTGAATGGCCAATGAAAAAGACAAGAGATACAATTGTATACAGTTCTTCATAAGGCCACACTGACTTAATTTTATGGATGACATCCTCTGAAGACCCCCAAACTAGTGCGCGCGGGCGAATAAAAAAAAAATTCTGGCCAAAAATAAAAATGCTACTAAACCACAGGAATACAAAGCTGGTATTGTGAATTCGTGACAGTACTTAGCGACGTATACGACAAGACGGCACATGCTGGCTTTTTGCAGCACTTATGAATCGGTACTGTACTTATGGACTGAGTTCTTGAGTCGTGGAGCTTCGAATTCGATAGCCTGGGTGCCCGGCTCCGTATTGTCGCTGACTATCATGGGCTACACAGGCCTAGAGCCAGGCCAGAGCCTCGGTGGAGGTGATTTTTTTTTTAGGGCAACAGGCAAAAATCAATGCGCGTGGATGTCATCCATAAATTTAAGTCGGTGTGGCCTAATGACTAACAAATAGGGAGACTGAAACACAGAAACATGAGGCAGGCATACTTACAAAAGTTACATAGACTATGAAAAAAGGTCAACCCATAGAAAGGGAAAAGAAGTAGTGACCTACTAACTTTTTGAAGAAACAGTTAAAAAAAAACATATTTCCCTCCTGCGGTATGGAGTGAAATATGATAAGGACTGGAAACTATTGAGTACTGTAGTAATGTAAAGCAGTGAACATATTTCCAATTTACAAAAGATAATGGCATGGTGGTGAGGATAGTGTTTGTTACCCTGGTTGGTTCCTCCACTGCAGTTGTCTGTGTCTCTGCCTGCCCCGGTACTGGTACTGGTACTGGTACTGGGGGTGCTACAACTGTCCTGTCAGCAGAACTTTCCACCCACTGAACTTCTCCATCAGATGCCTTGTTTGGACATTCAAAATGACAGCGAAATCACTATTGGCAATTAGTATAGCTCAATGCAATACAAAAATCACAGAAAATTCAGAATTCAGTCAATTCCTGTTATGTTAAAAAGTCACTCATCTTTTTGTGTTGTATATGCCACAGTATCTGATCTTCAGGTTTGTAGACTTGATTTATCATTGTGCTCCTTTTCATATAAGTTATAAATTGACACTATGTCAGAATGGACATTAACTTTCCCCATGCCTGAAAGCTTGATTTCCAAGCATTCCACTTTTTGTCCTACCTCAGAGCCACTGCTCGAGTCATTCCTCTTCCTTTTCTTCTGTTTCTTGTGTTTTTTGTGCTTCTTTTTCTCTTTCTTGTGTTTCTTGGGCTTCAGGCTCTCCTCCTGGAAGACACACAAGGACATTATGACCTATGTGGTAAAGATGGTGTCAGTATGGCCACTACTAGTACATGTATGATACACACAATTTGATGTGTCAGTACTACCAGGTATGGAAGTATTGCTTTGGGTGGCTGAGCTGTGGGTTTGTGTATCTGTTCATCTGGATAAAGTAGGATCCATACAGCTTCCCGAGATGACATCTGGTGGTGTCCTCGATGATAATGAGTGTAGATTTTTAAAATTTATTTACTTCATGGGTCACCACAAAACAAGGCTCATGGGAGCCACTTAAAATGTTTTGGGTTACAGTACAGCCAGTGAGGACAGATGTTAATCATGTTTGTTGACCTTAGACTTGAAGAGTGAAGAATGCCAGCACATGGGTAAGAGGAACATAAAATGCAGAATGTCAAAAGGTCAGACACTGGAAATTGGGTAAACTTAATAAAAGTAGGTTACCAACATGTGGGAGATGATTGACCGGCAGAATGACAGGAGTTAAAAGGTCAGACATAGGAAATGGGGTGAACTCGAAAGTCACAAACTGCTTCCCAGGAGTCTGAAAAGCTCTGATCTTTGTTAGTCTTTTTCTTACCTCTGTAGCCAATCGTTTGTTGACAGCCGGCAGCATCCAGACATCTTCCCCTGTCCTCCGCTTTCTCTCCTTCCTCCTCTCTTCTTTCTCATGCTTCTCTTTTGCCTTAGAGAAAAATCACGAACGGGAAAATGATGTCAAGAAACAAAATCATGTTTAGTATCTAAAGGGGAAAGTACATAATTTTTCAAGGTGTGTAAAAAGCCAATGTATCCTCCGTTTAGATTGTCAATTTTGGTATTATTCCGGTTCATATTTCACCATTTTTCAGGTCTGACAGCGGCGAAGATGATGATGATGATGATTTTTCAGGTCAAACCAACTACTAGTATTATAGAGAGAACTTTATAATTGACACAACGCACAACAAAAGTACAGCGACTTTCGTAAGGTCTAACACAACATGTAGACATACTGACAAATACAACGAAATAAACCTACATACAATGTACGAATCAACTTATAAGTACATTGAATCAACTTATAATAATTTATACGCAACGGCAACGACGCACAACAAACGTTTTACACACAGCCCCCCTCCCCACTCCTCTCCACGTAAACAAACGTCCAAAACAAATTAACTGAGACATTCAAACAGTTTCTCAGTAGACGTTGTACAACCTTAGGTCTTCGCCTCTCACCTTGACCAGTAGCTGCTCTCTAGCCTGCCTTTTGACCGCCTTTTCCGTCTCGTAAACTCGAGAACTCTTGAAGTTCACCAAACCTCCATGTTCCGCCATCGCGAAATATGGAACATCCCACTTTCTGACGTCAGAATTTTTTATATGCAAAAATATGTATCTGAAGTAGCTTTATACATCTGCTTCCCATATTACATGTAGATTAAGTCTATGCTGTAACTTTTGAAGCATTTGATACCGAGTTATTTGTATATAATGGAAATAAACTTGTTTCTCATATCCCCCCTCTTCAAAAGTGTAGTGCTCCAAATAATCGGGCCTGTTGAATTTTGCGACATCTATTTCGATTTTACGACAAAATTTTGCCTCAAACCAGGCTGGTCCTATGCGAAGATTTCGCGAGGAGTGGAGTGACAACCAACCAAGAAAATGTTTAAAAAGTAAGTATATTTCACAACTCTGATGTTTAAAACATATGCTATGAGTAACATAGGTCACGTAGGTATAGCTTTTACTTCAGTGAATACTTCAGTAACATAAAGTAAACTGCTGCCAGTCGATCAGCATGTGCACTGCTGCTTTCGTACATGCTCTTGTAAAGAACTTCAGCTTCAGAGATGCATATGGTACATTATATATTCCCTGGGTATGCATTACTGATTTAGAAAATGGTTACTGATTTAGAAAATATATGAGTTTGGTTCTATTTTTTGTCCTCTTCAACCTTAGCCTGACCTAATCATTCTATTTTTTCTACAATTTTAGATCTAACGTTATAACTTGACAGTATAACTTTCTATTGACAGGACCATGCTGTCAATAACAGAAAATTTTGCACTATTGACAGGATCGTTTGACGTCTGTTATTGACAGGATCGTTTGACGTCTGTTATTGACAGGATCGTTTGACTTCTGTTATTGACAGTTTGACAGGATCGTTTGACTTCTGTTATTGACAGGATCGTTTGACAGGATCGTTTGACTTCTACATTATTGACAGGATCATTTCACTTCTCTTATTGACAGGATCATTTCACTTCTCTTATTGACAGGATAGCCCTGTCAATAGTGCAAAAGTCCATTTTTTATTTAAATAATTATGTTTACAGAAGGAAAACTTATTGTTTTTGCTACGTTTCCTCTTCTTCTTCCGTTCCAAACACACCTCTGACCTGGCCAATGACCTGGTTTGTTGATGTCTCTCACCATGGTAACTGGTGTTGGGTTACATAATGTTGCAATTTTACAGTAGGAGGGATTTATACTCCTGTCTGACCATATATATGAATGTATTTGAGTAAGAATTAAGGACAGAACAGGCCATATGGGAAGGTAAACATTATGCATTTGCTTTGCAAATTTTACCTTTCTAGTTTGATTATGTATTCCATTGTATATGTGCAAATGAACAAATCACAAATCACATCATCTCTAAACCTGCAGGTTTGAGGAGAAGGAGAGTGTGACAGGAGTGACCCAGCTGAAGTCGTCAGCTCAGCGTGGGATCAGAGCCAAGCTGCTGGACGAGTACGGTCACTGTGAGGACTACCTCAACCAGATAGTACCCAAGAAGGAGGCCATGAAAATAGTCAAGTGGTGAGATGGTGGAAATGTAGTGTATTATTGACCAACTTGCGGAACAGATTTCTAACACAATTATCTTGATTCAAATAAGTTAGGAGGGATTCATTTACATAATAAATGTGTATGTATGGTGACTGTGTAGTAAATGTGTTTTGAAACTCTAGTACAATAGTAGTAGTACTAGTAGTAACAGGTTTGAAAATTAAGGATTTCTGTGAACCTATTTCAACATACACCCAACAAGACCTCTATTACAGCTGAACTATGCAACACAACTTCATTATATTTGACAATAAAAAAAAATGGTAAGCAATTTAGATTGGAGACGAGCTGCATACACAACGGTTGTCAGGTAGATTTGGGGCAAAGATTTTGACATTTTTCATTTTTTTTCGGTCGGTGTCCGTCACTCAGTGAACTGTTTTGTTATAAGACTATTTTCCGTGATCATTTCTCTTGCAGCCATGACCATGTAGAGATCATTGCCATAGGAAATGAACTGCTGTTCTTCAGACAGAGGGATGGACCCTTCATGCCCACACTAAGACTACTACATAAGTGTGAGTCACTCATCTTTTCTTTATAACTTTCATTATTCCTTTGTTACTGTTAGCTAGCAGTGGCAGTTTCTGTAATTTTCTCTCAAGTCAAACTCAAAGTTAGCAGTTCAATGAATGGGAGAGGGAATACACCTCCATTAAATTTTGAATTTCTACATCTTTATTTCAATGTTTTGAAAAAAAATAAAACAAATTTAAAAGCCTGTATAAAAAAAATTAAAAAAAAACGTCAGGGGTATTTGCCCACTCTGCATGTACCTTCATGCCAAAGTTCATGTTATTTGCCCCAAAAATGGCAGAGTTGAATCCCTTTGAAGAAATATGACAGGAAGAACAAGAAGGAGGATAAGAAACATGAGGGAAAACAATATGTCTTAATAAGATAATGATATACATGTAATACATATTTTCCAACGATCTGGAATTCATGTCCCAAAGATACACAAGTGTATACAGCACACATACACACGTCAAATTGCATTCAGGATATTTTAACATAATTTCTTACATGTTGTTTTCCAGACCCAATCCTGTTGTCCCACCAGCAGGTTGATAAGGGTGCCATCAGGTTTGTGTTGAGTGGAGCTAACATCATGTGTCCTGGACTCACCTCACCGGGAGGGAAGATGGCTCCTGCAGACAAGGACACTGTGGTCGTATCCTTCTGTAGAGATGGACCTGCTGTTTTGATTCTTGTTTAGGCCACACTGACTTAATTTTATGGATGACATCCTCTGAAGACCCCCAAACTAGTGCGTGTGGGCAAATTAAAAAAAAATGCTACTAAACCACAGGGACACAAAGCTTGGATTGTGAATTTGCGGTAGTACATGGTGACTTTATGACAAGTCGGCATATGCTGGCCTTTTGCGGCATTTTTGAGTTGGCACTGTACTGAGTTCTTGAGTTCTGTGGAGCTTCGGCAGCCTGAATGCCATGTTCTGTAGTCACTGCCGGCTCCCTATTGTTGCTAGTTACCATAGCCCACGGAGGATGGCACCCAGGCCAGAGCAGAACAGGTGAAAATTAATGCTTGCATGGATGTTGTCCATAAACTTAAATCAGTGTGGTCCTACAACACAATAAAATTCATATACAAAACAACACATTACAGCATGACCCAGTACAGTGCAGCACAACACTGCTCAACAAAGCACCACAGAACACAACACTGTACGGATACTCAAGAAAACAGTCACTCAAGCAATTGGATAATTATACAGTATTTTGAAAACTGTCAGACGTTTCAGGTAGCGTCCACCACGTTTTGTCAGTGACTAACACAACAGAGTTGCGAGGTCCTCTTTGTAGACACTTTTTGTGTATTTTTAAAAGAAATTGTAATGTACTTATGCACATCTTTTGTTTTTGACCAAGAAGAGTCCTTAACAGTGCCTTCAGGCAATAATGGCAGAGGGAAAGGAGCATGCACTGGCAGTAGGGATTCTGAAGATGTCAACAGCAGACATGTATGTATAACACTGATACATGCAAACAATCACTCGTGGGTGTCTCAGTTGATCAAATTACAATATTGCTCATATTGTAACAGATTCCTTGAGGAAGTGGCACAATGATATTTTGCTACCTTCAAAATGTATGCTACTGATATAACATCATCTTTTTATCATGCTGATAACCTTTCTGTTTTGTTTTACAGAGCATCCATAAACAAAGGAGTTGGGGTTGAGAATGTGCACTACCTAAATGACGGGCTGTGGCACTTTAAGACTGTAAAATAGCACTCTCTGACTGGTGAAAATGATTTTACACATACCTGTAATATCTTTCGAACTTCTGCTGTCAGTTGGACCTAGTTCATCTCTTACAAAGAAACACACCAGCATTGGTGTATAATATGTAATGCCACTTACAAAATGATATGAAAAATATGGAGTTACTTGAGTCTTAAATCTCTTTCTGGTCTACATCTTTTTTGGTGCAAGCAAACTACAGCATTTAAGAATAATTAAGTTGGAACTTCCAAAGGGCAAATTCAAACCCTATAAATTTGCCATTTGTTTGGATAATGTTATCATTTCAAATGATGCCAACATGTATGTTAGCAAAATTGAGTCATTTTAAAGTATTGCCCCCGTTGTCACATGTTTCATTTAATGTGGCCATAACAAGATGTTCCAGTACTATCTAACACATGCATACTGTATTCAATGCTTTGTAGACACACTCAGTACATTACTACAGATATCTATCTCTATGACTAAATACTTGCTTCACAATAGGAAACCATGGCATGTAAACATGGCGTCTGTCTGTCACCGAGATAATATCAAATACTAATAGTACACCAGCGGTCTACTGAAATTGTCTACATTGTATACAGTCACCAGATTGACAAAACATGAATTATCATTCTACACCACTTGTATCCAAGGCATGTACAAATGGTAAGCCTTTATTTGTATGTCAACACACTCAAAGTATTGTTCACAAAATATGGTAAGAGATTATTGGAAAATTGACACAACATTATCTAACACTTAAATGTTACTCATTATCTACCACCACCACTTTAATTTCACAAAGTTATTGAAGCAAGCCATCCTCCTTTAACCACGTCTGTTGTCAGTAGTATCTAATATACCACCTTAGATATACAAATAGCAGGCTGGCAAACATTTTACCATAGAGTATCAGTTCATTTCAGTAGTAGAAAATCAAGCATCACCAGGCCTTGAAATTAAGTGTCCCAATGGCCACTGACCACTAAAAGTCAGGCCACTTTTGGACATTTTTGGCACAATAGAAAAATAACATCAGATCTAGAATGTCAGCCCTTTCTTTTGTTCAATAGGCACACGTCCCAGCTTTTGGATCCGTAACCCCCCCCCCCGAATTTCCTGCCTATACTCTGGGAGTCAGAACGTTAGCAACTTTGACTTTGACTTTGACAAATGGTTACACAGGAGTCTAAATCCCTCCTGCTATGAAATTACAACATGATGTAATCCAACACTAGTTACCATGGTGATAGACGTCTGGTTCAGGACATTGACCTTTTTTGTTTGGGGAAGAAGAAGAGGAAACTGAGAAAAAGCAATACTAGTCCTTCGGTAAACATAAATATTGCACTGTCTTGTCTGTATAGAGGTAACGCCGTCATCGTTGACTCTTTAAAGTGAGGACGCACATTTCGCCAGAGTTCATCAACAAGATGCTTAAGATTGGGAAAGTTTGATCACGAATCTGGAAAGTTAAGCAGCAACTCGGTTGAAGCTGATCCCGTATAAGAGCCTTACACATGGGTTAAGAAGCTACTGACTACAGAGTCGATCAAGGTTGCGTACAAGTCTAAATAAGTTGAAAACATTTACTTATTGCGGGCGATTTCGGAAAATGCAGGGCGGCATTTACATGTTGAAAATCGCCCCCAATGCAATGAAGAAGTTCACATTTCTGAAGGCCGGAACGTGTTAACGTTAAATTGTTCAGTAAAATTGAAACGTTAAAACACTGCTCTACCTTATAGATTACCATTTTACAGTACTATCTCAGAGTAGAGGCTCAGAACAGATTTGTGGTCTTTAAATGCTGATCTTTATTCAGATGCTTAACACGTGTCTGTAACTTAAACTTCACTGGCGTAAAGACAGTTATATTGTGAAGCAGAGGACGGAACAAGACCAGGTTTGGGAAAATCTTTATCTCGATCTTCTTGGCTTTTTTTATCATTATCTCTTCTTGGCCGTTTGAAGATAAAACATCTGCGAAATGTTGAATGAATTATTATTTTTCAAAGAGCACCTATGACAAAAGATAACGCGGCGACCAACTGTTGCAAACTCAGCTGGACGCTCGGCATCGATCCCGAGAACGGTCGATCGTACCCGATCGTGACCTTCGTGAGTATCCGTGAAGTTTCGGAACGGTTGCCATGGTGTTGCGTCGACCGAGTGAGTGACATGTGAGAAATATTCCGTTTTGTCACGAAGGGCGCTCTGTCTGTGCGTGTTTGATTGAACGCCCTTTGTGCGTGCAAAGATACTGTATACACTGTTGTCATCATCCTGTTGGCTTCCTAAGAAAGACAAGGCTCAGTATACCAATATGGTCCTGGTCACGCTCGGTCGATTCAAAGCGAACAGCTGGAATTTCAGTGGAAAGGACAACTCTAGCCGCAGGGCACAGTAAAAAAAACTGGTGTTCAGCGAAGAGGACTGTCGTTGCCTTTGCCGAACAAGAACTTCAAGGTCCTTTTCTTTAGCCTACAAACTGTCGGTAAGTGAAAGTTTGTATAATATTCTTTTCAGAAACTGTTAATTGAATTTTTGTTCACCGACAGAAATGCAGGCTCAGAAAAATCAAGGAGGTTAAATATTTAAAAAATTGCATTTTTTCCAAGGAGGTTAACGTTAAATATTAACCTCCTTGGAAAAATGCAATCCATGTTTTTTAAAATCTTGACATGAGAGTTTCGTCCGCAAGGCCGAATCTCATGCGTTCGTCACAAATTACTAACATTATGTTATTATAATAATTGCTTTGCTAGTTGTTTGTAAGGTGGTACAACCAGTTCTTGCTGCCAGAGGATCTGAGTCTTCACACAGACAGTGGAGAAGGAAACGAAACTCAGCTGATCTTTTGGTAAGTTGACAGAATATCTTCTTGTTTCAGCTTGACAGAATATTTCAGCTTGTTCATCTAAGATTCTTGGTTCCTTAATTTGAAAAGTATAATATACAATATGGGTACTGGGTACATGTGCACCTTAGTGCACCCAAATTTGGAGCTGTGCACCCAGTATTTTTTTCTGTGGGTGCACTGGTTCACCCAAATATTTTTGTAGGTATATCAAATCTATAATAGTATACAGGATATTCTTGGCATCTAACTTAGATTCTAAGTTTCAGAAAAATAATTATAAAATCTTTGTAGTACTTGTTTAGATTTTAAATTTAGCTCCCAGTAAGATCTGTAATTAGGTTTTGTTTTATATAGTGCACCCAAAAATTTTTTGTGCACCAAATATTTTAGGTTGGTTGCACCAGTGCACCTATTCCCAAAAATGAATTTCGAGCCCTGTAATATTTATTTGGACTGCGAAGGGGCTAGAATAGAATAACAAAGTGATAAAAAGTATTACTGGTATCAAATTTCTGCCACTTTTGAAATATTTATGGCAATGATTCATTATAGAAGAAGAAGAACTTTATTGCATGACAATTGCACATGGTACAATGTATGGCAAACTACATAAAGAAAATAACAAACAATAAAATAAATGTATTGAATAAGACCTAATGTGGAATAAAACCTATCATATCTTAATTAGTCAGTGGCCATCGGGACACTGTTAATTTCGAGCCCTGATCCAATCGTGAGTCTCCGAAACTGATCGAAGAACAGCTGTTACAGTGTATAGTGTGCAGTCTAGTCTGAATTTGTTCAGCTGTATGCTGAGTTCTAACGTGGATTATCAGCATCAATACAGACCTCTTCAGAGTTTGTTCAGCAGTGTGTTTGAGCCTTTGTTTGTTCATGAAATACTCCTGGAGGCTTGTCAGTCAGGTCAGGACTGAAGAGGGAAGGGTCAGACAAAATATACCGGTAACAAGATACAGTATCACTTGGAGTGCTAAGAAATCCATGAAGATATAGTGGTACGGTGACCGTAATTATGTTTAACGAAGGAAAACATATTGTTTTTGCTCTATTTCTTCCTCTTCTTCTTCTCCAAACAGTGACCTATGACCTGACCAATGAAATGATTTGTTGACGTCTGTCACCATGGTGACTGGTGTTGGGTTACATAATGTTGCAATTTCATGGTCTGCTCTGCTCTTGTCACCATATACTTAAGTAGTACATGTATATTGTGTTTGAGTAAGAATTAACAGAGCAGACCATGTCCGAAAATAAACATTTTGCATTTGCTTTGCAAATGTTACTTCTCTAGTATATCCATAATAGATGTATCCTTACATTATATACAGTATTGCAAAAACACATAGGTCAAAATGATTTTGGTATACGCTCAATGTCCGCTCCAGTCATTTGGGACATTTCAGTTGTTGCAAAAGTCTCTTAACCCTTGTCCTGCTGGCAATTTTTACACAATATTTTCAAATAATTTCATGTCTTAATCAGGTCACAGACCCTTGACTTTTTTTTGCCCTGCGGCGGCGTAGTTACTTCCGCATTCGTTGCGTTTCGCTGCGGTGTGATGCGTTGCACGAGAAACACCCCCAAATCGCACATATGCAGGGCACTATATAGATGGTACTGTATGTACAACCCATATATATATGGGCCCCGCAGGACTTAAAATAGGACTGACAACACTTGACCGGAACATCTGTTTTCAGCAGTTCATGAAGAGGGCCTGCATGGGGGTTAGTGATTAGGAATTAGGCAAAATTTTCGCTGCCAATTACAAATTAGGTTAAATTCTCAGAGCTGATTGCGACTTTACGCTTTGTGGCTAAATATTGCAGCATTGATTTTTGGGGAGGCAGCCTATGGATTACATTTATTTTAAGACTACGCCTTACAAAAAAGGGCATTCAGACCCCCCCCATGAAGAATGCTCATGTGTAAGCCAGGAGTGTGTAAACTGGTATAAATGAGTCAAATGGCTAAAGAGGAGATTTAGACATTGAGAATGTCACTGTGATTGGGAAAAGACTGCTTGAATAAGAAACTGGTCTACATTGTAACTTGAAGTTCCTCATATTTACCTCTGGGTATGGAGGTATTGTTTTGGGTGACTGAGCTGTGGGTTTGTGTACCTGTTTGTCCAGACAGAGTAGGTTGACAGCACATGGGTGGGGGAGAACATTGACAGGACAGGCATAATGCTAGAAAGTCAAAAGGTCAGTCATGTAAGGAAGTGCTAAAGGCCTCAGACTCTGCCCGGGATCTAGCAAAAATTACTGGTCGACTTTCATTCAATTGAAGTTTTGTGCTGTTGGTTTCCAGTTGCAGTTCTCCACATTGTCACAAGAGGGCTTTACTCATGGATCACTGCTGTGTAGTGAGTTTAAAGCCTGTAAGCAAAAGTATATAAAAAATACAAAACTTAAATCTTAATAGACAGAAATTTTCTGGTGTCATCATGAGTGGTTGTGTATCATGTGCCCACAAGTAATTTGTAGCTATTGCTTTCAGGATTTTGTTTTTTTTTTGGTGCGTACTAGGTAAATGTAAAACATTTTTCAAACTGCCTTGTTTTAGGTAAGTCATTGAGTAATCCTTTTATTACTTGATTCTAGATATTGTACATCACAGAGCAATAACCCATGTTCACTGCACCCAATATCAATGCTAATTTCATTTTACATGTATGTCTAATCTGTTAACACCAATTTACTTCCTTTGTTATTGATCAGTCACCTAAAACAGATTGTCGTCTTAGTTGGAAATTATTAAATGATAATGTGTTATGAGTCATGGAGCCACGTCTTTTCGAAACGTTGGGTCACCGAGTCAATTGCACCAAACTAAGACGTATTGATTTTCAAATGAAGAATGTCTGTGGGTCAGTACCTCGGGCCTAGTAAAAAAAAGGTTGTGTTTCCTGTTTCCCGACGACTATAAAAAAAACTGCCAACCCCAGCCTTTTTTTTATGTTGACCCCTGCAAGGGACATAAATTTTGCAACCTTTTCTAGGTCTATGATTTGAAACATTGTATAATTGGTTTCCAAAATTGACATTCAAAATATAAGTGACCTCATGCAAGTTTTACTTAAACTGTATTGTGTAAACAAGGAACTCCTTGGTATGAGATATGAGATGCTTAATGCTTAATGATTGGTCAATATCTAAAACTCGAGCAGAGTGCCCTGCACTAGAGAGGCACAGTAAAAGTATAAAAGGAGGAGTGGTCCGATCTCTGTCATTCTTGATAAAGACTGAATAAAGTCGAAACCGGTCGAATTCCGTCTCGAGTCTGTCATCTTCCCATCGCTACGAATGATGAACTCCTTGGTATGAGTTAGATCACAAGACATCGCCAAAGTCTAAAAAAAAATAAAAAAAATAATCCCTATCTACTGACCCTAATTTTTTCAGGGAACGAAACAAGAAACACAACATTTTTTTTCCTAGGCCTCGCACACTCACAGAGGCTTGAGGCGGGTCAGCTACAAGAGATCAGAGCCCATGTGGACAGAGAGAGATAACAGGATGTCGTATTGATTAACTGACCACTGTCAACTCCAGAAGGCTCAGAACTAAGAGGTGAAAATGGGAAAGCACAAGCTTTTGAGCCAGAGATGAAGTGTTGTGTATCCTCAAGCTAGATCTTGGAGGATAATCCAAAGAAGTAAAGCACTCTGGTGTTCATGACAACTGGGAAATTCTTATAAATGAGAGTAGAAACATGTTAAAGATCTCAATTCTGGGCATCGAAGGCTACGTGTACCGCAAGGGAAATATATTGCTAAACAAAGAAATTAAAGGCTCTCCAAGACCATTATTGAGCGGTTGAGATCTCTGGTGCGCTCCCGCAAACTTTCAATACCAGATGGTGCTCCTGGTAGTTCTCAGTGTTTGTTGGTTTCACATAACCCGTAAACCGCCTTAAACCGCCACTAGTTTTGTACATGTAAGTACAAGCTGCATAAGACTGGACTGTAAGGTTTGAACCACTCACACCGGGAAGGACTGCCCTACTCTTCAATAAGTGATAAGTTTTGTTGCACTAACTTGCAAGTCTTGTCTTGACTCCTGTGTAAATGTATACTGGGCCCCATTGGAAATCAGCTGCTACTACATGTAGCTGAATGGGATACCCAGCTGTTTTATAACTATGATGAAATAAGTACATTCTTTTTTTTTTTTTTGGTAACAAATCTAATGGCTCAGCTTAATCAATACTAAATATTCAATTCTTATCAGGACGTGCCCATAAAATACACTGTTACTCATAGAAAACCTTATAACATAAACCAGTGTCACTATATATACATTACATATACAATGTAGGTGAGTTGACACTCGTACTCCCATACAGATAGCTGTTATGGTACATGTTATCATTGCAGCTGCAGACAAATCCTAAACATAAACAAAACAAGGATATCCTTATTATTGTCTGCTGTTCTTGATATCATGTGATTCTGAGATCATTTTTTTTATACCATCCTTGTTTGATGTTACAGGATATAGTTACAGTAAACAAAATTATACCGCACCATTTTAATTTGTCGGCTCTCAGATTTGCCACTCTGATTTGCAACAACTCTATTGGGTTTAATAAACTTTTTATTGTATGTGGTAAAAGGTGACTGAGTTTGAAAAGTGCAGTTTGAATCTGTATCTGTATCGCTGGTATAACCATCCTTTGGCATAACACACCTGGCCAGCTTTGCAGGCATGCGGTGTGGCGTCAGCTGGCTACATTGAATTTTTAATTATTTCAAACCTTAAGTACACCGAACGACTTGATACAGCTAACTTTAAACATTGTTTAAAGCTATCTAATGACAATGTCCCTACTGTACTTGGTGACAGCGAGTTCCACTCTGTGATAGTTCTAGGAAAGAATGAGTTTTTGAACACCTCAATCCTTGATTGATAACTGGTACTTGAAGACATGACTTAATTCCTTGTTCTTTTTTGAGCTGGTATTACATGTAGGTC